TATTTTGATCCTAATTATGCTAAAATACCCAAATAACACTTACAATCTGAAAACCTGTTTTATGTCAATTTTGAACACATTTGTGCCACTAAAAGCAACTTAGAATTTCTGTATATAATAAAAACACTAACTGAAACTATTTAACATTTTCCTAGATTTTGTCTATTTATAGGTTTATATGACCTGGATCGCATTGACAGTTTTTATCATGCCCACGATCTTCATCGCCTCTTGTCATTCGCTCATGGTAATGGCAATTTGGCAAGCGTCGCGTCTTCAAACTGAATTAAATGCTCGCAGCAAACACCAGACCAGTGGACATGTACGGATATCTCAAGAAGTCAGCGGAGGCGGCCTGGCTTTATCTCAGGAGGATGCTTGTCAAACGGAAATATATTATAGAAAAGGAGAAAGTACAGCTGAGCATTCGGTTGGAGATAAAAGTAATGATGGAACAGCTGTGTCCTACATAGCCGTCGACTCAAGCTCAAGTCCTTCACATGTAGACAGTCGGGCAGTATGCATCATGAATCTATCAGGCCACAATCGTTGTAAAGACAAAGTCGTAAACGATAAAGACTATAGCGGCGCCGACAGACAGAAGGCGTACAACGTCGTTGATGGTGTTCAAACAAATAATGCATCGGGAAAGGGGGCGATAATAAGACATTTGCTTGAGTCAAAAGGAGAAAAGTTAGGTCAAGCCGGGAGCTGCATACCGAGAGCGAGGGTAAAAACGGTTAAAATGACATGCGTTATTGTTTCAGGTAAATAATGTTTCTAAGATTGTAGTATTTTTCAAGCTTGACAGAATACATTTAAAACAAAAAACATTAGACCAATTTAAATGTAGTCTGACTTTAGAGTATCACCAGATTTTCACAACTGTCATAGAATAATATCATTATTTCACTTAATTAAAATTTAATTTACTTAATATTATCTTAGTATTCCTATAAAGACTAAATACTCTTTCCTCTTACACATCAGTTTAATTATCACAAAGTAAGATATCAAAGATTTTCGTATCGGCTATAAGTGTCATTGAAATCTGATGCATGCAGAAAGTTAACTATTTATCATGACAAGCAAATAAAATGACAGTCTCTCGCAAAATCATTAAATTAATTTATTCAAGGTTTCTTATCAGCGCGATAAGAACCTGAAACCGCCATTTCCCATCAACTATTTACAAGAAGACTTTGACATATCCATTTTTGGCTTGACATTCTTACCAGAGTGGATAAACGGCGTGCCTGCCTAATAGGAAGATAAGATATGCAGAAATATGAATTAAATTTCAATTCGTAAATACTGACTACCGAGTGTTTATGCCAAGCAAACCACAGGAATATAAGCTGAAGCCACCAGACTAGAGAAACGGAGGATGTGCTTCCAAATATATGCGCAATCAGGACCAGTGTGCAATTAGTTATATGCATTGATAGCTCAAATAAATTCTTGTTTCTAACGATGAAGAAGATGTTTGCTGTTCACTTATCTTTCCATAGTTATCTTCATCAGATCAATTATTGAATTCTTATTTGTGTAAAAATTAATTTCACTTCTTACATGAACAAATTGTGGTGAAAATTGTTTAGATTCAACGAAATACACGATTTCATATTCTATATTTAAATATTATACAGCATACTATATATAATTTATACCTAGACTTGATACTTTAATATTTGATATATTTGCCATATTTTTACCATTTTAAAGATTTTGTGGAAAGATACACACTTTGTAACTAAGCAGATATTTAAGATTAAAATTTTTCATTTAATCAGAAGGACTTTTTTCATCAAACTTATTCTTACGGTTTTCGCGGTGTAACGTTTTACCTGTATTAGATATTATTAAATTTTAGTCCTGAGGAAAATCTAGTGTAGGCTAAAGATATTTGG